GTCCAGCTTGGTGGTAGTCATAGAGGGCTATTGTCCCACGTAGGATCTCAAGGCCAGTGACCACTGTGGAAATGAGGAAGGTAGAATGGATGGACCTGTGGTGTGATCCAAGAGGGTTCTTCTTTTGTTTTTAGCTATGCTGTGAGTTTAAAGTTAAAATTGAAAGTCCTTTCTGTACCACAAGCAACATTCACAGCCAAATTTCAAGGAGCATTAGCAATTTTCAATACACGACCCAGTTCCATCCTCATTTCCATCATTTGCCAGTAAATGACTAGGAAATCTACTGTGAGGTGAATTGCTCCTTAGATATTTTCTTGCACATTCTGTGATTTTGTTTGGCGGCATTAAAAGGCTTTTAAGATGGGTCAAAATGGAAGAAAACTATTTCAAAATATAAAATATTATTTTAAAACAGTATTTGATTTTAGCTTATTATTTCTCACCACTCTCAGTTTTCACCTTGCATCTTATGATTGTATATGTTCAGTTTTCAATAGAAAGAGTAGTAGCAGTAATAGAAATGGATGTGAAGTGACAATGAATGATTTTGGTTCCTAATTATTCATTGTACCAGCACCAGCAGCTGAAGTGCAGGAAGATTGTTGGAGTAGATTGTCGGTCCCCTTTAACCCACAAAAACTCATACTGGGATGAAGGGATGTGGTCTTCTTTCTTAAAGTGTGTGTTACGATGAACAGGCACCATTTCTAAACTCATCTAAAGAGGTTTCTCCAAAGGCATGGTGGAGATGTTTGAACATTTTCAGTGTAAACATTTGTGCTAGAAGAACATCCATAGGGATCAGACAAAAGGTCCATCATTCTATTCAGTGACTGGAGCCAGGTCCATCATTCTGATCCAGTGACTGGAGCCAGGGTGGAATCACCCATTCACTTACTAGCCTGCCTTCTAACCCTGCCCAGTTGGATCAGATGAAAGAGCCTTCTAGTCCAGTATCCTGTGGGCAATCAGGTGCTTTTGGGAAGCCTGCAAGCAGGACATGAGTGCAGAAGCACTTGCCCTACTCATGAGCCCCAACAACTGGTATTCATAAGCCTCCCACACTGGAGATAGAACATAGTCATTAAAGGCAGTAGCCATTAGTAGTCTCATCTTCCATGAGTTTGTCTAACCCTCTGTTAAAGCCATTTAAGTTGGTGCCATTCTGCTAGTGCAACAGGCTTTGTGTGGAGTGTAGCACAACATTCAAGTCCGATGGGTGTTTTGCGCTTGCAGAAAAATGCTGTGTGACCTGATGTTTCTATACTTGGTGACAGTTAAGCTTGTGTGCACTGTTGCTTGTGCAACAGCATGAACTCTCAAACTTCTTGTGCTAAGATTACATGGGATTGCAACCAAAATCCAGTTCAGAAGCCACTGGTAAAAGAATTATGAGTCACTTAGTTTTGATTGTATAAGCTGTTGTGTGATATGTTAGTATGGCGCAACATAGTAGCATACTAAATTTACAAGGAAGTAGAAATATCTTATTTTTGTCTTCTGTAAAGGAGGAAAAAATCAATGTCATCTCTTGGGTGCCTTGTCCGACAGGTGAAGACTACAAATATAACAGAAGATCATGCAGGGTTCCCCCCCGCCATAGAAATTGTCAATAGAAACACAGTGTCTACTTTTAATATAAACCATTACACTATCCATTGGGAACTGCAGTTACGTATTGCAAAATTTACCAGGAAATAAAATATAGGATCACAGAATGCAATGAAGTCCCATTTATCCTGTTTTCATACAGTGCCATCTTTCTAGCATAACAGAGGCAATTATGAATGAAAAATATACACAGACATCATAATAAAGCACACAGGGAACAGTAGCATCTAGTGAATAGCAATGAGGGGCTGCATACATTCTTATCATTCATCTGACAACATCCAACTGGTTGGTACTCAGCAAGTGTGGTAGTCAACTACATTTTACTCAGAGTAGAGCCGTTGAAATGAATTAGGTCTGCTAAGTTACATAGGTCTACTCTGAGTAAAAGTTAGTTGGATGCCACCCACTTATCCCATGCAGAAAGCACCCCTGCCCCCGAGTTCTCACCCACAGTTCCTCTGCATTTCTAAATCAGCATGTCAACAGAGGCTGTCCTGGAGGCATTTTTGCTATTTAACAAAATATGACATCCAATTATATTTGACATTTGCATGCTGTTCTTGGGTCACCAAGGGACAGTATTATACATGGTGAAAGGTGATAGTGTTGTGGTAGTGTTGTTGGGGTACGTAGACTTGGCAGCTCCAAACTTGATGCAGAGGTAGGGGTGGGAGATGATTTGTGCTTAAACCTTTCATTGGGACCATTTTTGTGATCAAAATGCTCCCATTTGCTTTCACAGCTTTGGAGGTAGAGTGAGATTTGGGGACCTCCTTTCCTCAAATGCTTGGAGATCAGTCCTATGGTCACATGTACATCAGCCCTCTTCTTCTTCTTTGGAGGTCACTCATAGCCAAGTAAGATTGTCTTCCATAAACATGGTTTTAACAGTGAGTCTGCAAGTGACTGTGGAGGCCAATTCTGGATCCACAAGTCCTTCCACAGTGGGGACATTGCTTTCCAGGTGGGAGTTGATCACGGTGTGGATTTGCCAAGCATGCCTTCCTCTTAGCATGTTTCTCCCTTGTGTCCTGAGTTCAAGTGTCTTCAAAGCCCATGACACCTTTGGTAAAGGCTGTTCTCCAGTTGGAGCGCTCGTAGGCAAGTGTTTCCCAATCGTTGGTGTTTATACTACATTTTTTAAAAAATTGCCTTGAGACAGTCTTTCAACCTCTTTTGTTGACCACCAGCATTACGCTTTCCATTTTTCAATTCAGAATAGAGTAGTTGCTTTGGAAGATGATAATCAGGCATCTGCACAACATGACCAGCCCAAAACCCACATCCATAATTTGAGCTCCATATATAAATTTTATAGAATTAACGGACCTCAGCACCAGTTTGCTATTCTAATGCAATTATACAGGCTAAACATACACAACTCTCTCAACCATTCATCGTAAGGCTTCGTTTCTGACCTTTGATCTATACATGTCCCAGTTTGCTAATATCCTTCTTAAACTGTGGTGCCCAGAACTGGACACAGTATTAATGCAGCAATCCACATATGCCACTCTAAGTAATACTTTGCTAGTGTGGCAGTTCTTGGTATCTGGCTGTTAGTAATATGGTTTAACTAGATTTGCATCTTATCATATCAGGCAATATTAAATACCTCTAATTTCTTTCATTTATTTTAATATTTCACCCTTGTTCCTGAAGTATAGCCTGTAGGGTTGTAAAAGGAATGCATTTTTACGCAATGTAAAAAACAAGGGTAACCGCATGTTACCACAAGCCATAATAAACCATAAGATTGGGTATTATGGATGGATGCACCGACCTATTTTCATGTCATTTTTGCAAGTGTCTTTTGCATCTCTGTCTTTTCCATCATCTTTCCACATTAATTTGAGGTTATTATTTTTCTTTTAAAAATCTGCACAAAAATCCCCATTTAAATATGCATTAATGTGTTTTCACTCAAAATATACATTTGAAAACATATTTAGATGTGCTTTTAAGCCAAGGATTGTGTTCAAACATTCTGGAAGTGCAGAATTCACTCGGTGGTTCTGATCCATGCATCAGCCCAGGAAGGTACAGATTAGGACAATTAGTATTTGAACTGACAGAGCATCCCTATAAGGTTGGTACAAGTGCAGCAGGTAGACAGTCTTCTTGTTTCTTCCTTCATTATTTCGCAGAACCTTTCAGGCCCTGTGGTGGTGGAACGTTCATCATGGAAATGTTCTAATTCAAATTGACACGTGCTCATAAAAGTCAAGTAAAAGAGCCATTAATCCAATCCCTTGACACAATGACTCAGACTTTACCAAAGAGGAAGAGACAACCAGACAAAGTCCAAGGCAACCCTTTAGCCCAGTAAGACTTCAGATTCATTAAGACATTCATTAGTTCTGATAAATAATTTATATCAAGTTCAAATAACTGATTTTTTTTTTTAAAAAACTAAACTCTTCACAATATATAGCTGTTTGCTTTCTTTTCTTTTATAGGGAAAAATAAATAATCTACCATTGCAAAATGCACTGCTGAGACTCATAATCACATATGCTATAACTCCTCACACGCTCTAATAATATTAACTGTAAGAACCCCATCTATAAGTAATGCGGGGATGCGTACTTTCTAATGTGATTCAGAAATGACTGGACTATAATTTTAAAGTTTTGCTACATTAGGTGTGCCTCAATTATTCATGCAATATATTTATGTATGCTATTAATGTTAATGCTTTGTTTACATATCTTTCTTTTTATTGGCAACCAAGAATGATGGAGTGAACCATCAGTATGACAGATCCCAGACTGCATTCTCACTCTGCTATTTTACACACACACACACACACACACAGAGAGAGAGAGAGAGAGAGAGAGAGAGAGAGAGAGAGAGAGAATATATATATATGGAAAGCATACTGGGGAAAAGCAATTACTGGCAATCTGGTCCATAATTGTATTATAATGACGCGCTCAGGAGCAGAGTTCTGATGGCTGTAGAGTCAGAATGGGAAAACTGGAAGCAAGAGGGTTGCAGAAGTAGAAAACAGCTGGAGGGGACCTTGAGGGGGTAAATAGTCCCCCAAATGACCCAATGAAGAATGAGCATTATTATTATACCTGAGTGTCTGCTGGGGCAGGGAAATGGAGAACTGGGAGGGGGGTGAAATGGAACATCCTGAAAGTAGGTGTAGCTGGCTCGGTACTACATTTAAAAGCAGCTCTACCCCCTGTAACATTTTGTTGCAGATTCTGCAGCTGTTCTTTAAAATGACATTAGTCTTATTGACTGCTTAACACTGTTTCATAGAATCAAGACCAGGAAAGCATCTTATGACATATTTGTTGTTGCTTCATGATAAAACAGAGAAACATATGTCAGAGAAATATGGTCTAGTACTAAATGGGAAACTCACCCTTTCAGGTGGCGCAATGGGTTGGTGCATCTGGCTGTTATTCGGAAGGCTGGTGGTTCGAGCCCACCCAGGACAGAATTCCTGCATTACAGGGCGTTGGCCCAGATGACCTCTAAGTTCTCTTCCAACTCTACAATTCTATGATTCCTATCTATTCCCCTATTTGGTTGACCTGTTGTGATTGACAGGTCAAGCGTATCATCAGGGGGACTTATTTTACCAGGGATCTCCAAAACTAGCTTAAGAATGACACCCGGATGACAAAGTGGAAAGGGATACACTACTTCACTGCTGCTGTGTCTACCTTGTAATCAGAGGGAATAATTTTACCCATAAGGCAAATCCCGTTCAGTTTTTTTATCCCAAAAATTCAAAACCAGCTTTAAAGGTGACTACCATAAAAGCCCCTGAACAAGACTCCTGTCTGCCAGCACCACTGACTTCCATGTGCCTCTGTGTATGTAGCTACAAGTCATGATGATTATGTGCTACTTACACTATCAAATGTAATATGCCTCTGCATATCAGTTGCGTGTTGAGACCCCGCAGCCACCCCCTCGTTGGAAATAACTCACACAAGGACACAGATATTAGGTTTATGTTACTGGGAAAATTTTGGCCACAACTTTATTGAAATTACAGATTGTGAGCGGTATTGGCTTAGGCATTGATTGGACCTGACTATATCTGACTCCTGCCCATTGTGCAGGAAGTCCCCAGTAAGGGTAAGCCACCGGTAGAGGGAGCCCTGTCGATGCGGACCAACTCAAGCTCCCCCTGGTGTTCCCATCGGGGTCGTGTCAAGGCCTTAGCCCCCCCAGCCGGGCTTCAGACTAGAACAACACCCCCGGATTCCTTTAATGGAATACCCTTAAGCATGGATGGGCAGGTGATGGCCACACCTCCCCTCCCCCACACGAGGTCAAACAATGCCTAACCGCAACCCTAACAAAGTTGTGATGATTGCTACGAGGTAGGCGAAAACCAAGTGGCCAGTGCCAATTTGCCAAGTGGAAAAATTCCTACCAGGCCCCTCGGACAACCAAGGGGAACAACCAAAGTCCATAGCAAGGCCATTGCCTAACCTGCAAAATAGGGAGGGAGGGTGGGTGATTGAGGAAGCAAGCCAAAGAGGAAGTCCTCTGGTTCGCTCCTCCATTTAAACAGCCCCAGCCACGCCCCCCAGCCAGCGGGGGGATTATATGGCCGGGATCCCCCAGGCAACGGGGGACAAGGTCCCCCGCCCTCAGTGGGGAGTGGGTGGCCGCGCAGTCCACTGCAACCCCTCCCCACTGGGAAGTGGAGCGAATTTGCTGGAATCACAGGTTGAGAAAGCACTGTTGCACTCAGGTCCTTCTTGAAAGCCATGTGGTTGACCACTGTGGGAACAAGATGCTGGACTAGATGGGTCTTTGACATGATCCGGTAGAGCCCTCTCTCAGACTAACCTATTTGCCTGCAATTTGGTAGCTTTCTTATGCAGGAGCATCTCTTTCATGCTTGCAAAACATTTCGGATTAAGTGAGTCCCTTTAAAGCCATCCCCAAACAGCGATTTTCTGCCTTTTCAGGAAAATCACTGCAGCCATACTGGCAGGATCCATGCCTTCAGAAAGGGCAACCTAGCCTGCAAATAGACCATCCATTTTGGGGGAGAAACATTATAGAGGTGTCCATCATTGGAACCCTGCACCTAGTTCCCTGCAATTTGGCAGGCTTTGTCTTTGAGCGAAAGGCTAGTGTGACTGCAGATTTCATCCATCTCATTAACATGGGGGGAAATTACAGCCTTTTAAAAAATTCACAATACTTAATTGGGAAAAGGGACACAAAGTGAACTCACACTTCTGAGCCAAACTGAGCAGCCTCCAAATTGATCTGAGCAGCACTGGGCTCTTTTACAAAGTTCCAAATTGGGGTTCAAACCAAATATTGTGGCTGGTGCAATAAACTCTATTTCTTTATGCAGTGGATTGGACTAGGCGACCCCTTGGGCCCCTTTCCAACTCTACAATTCTGTGATATAGTCTGAATTTGCTCTGACATTCAAAGCAGATTCTGGCATTCAAAGCAGGTTCATTTGGCTAAAATGAATCCCCACCTCGCTGACGAAAGACTATACTGTATCTCCAGCACTGACTGAAACATGAACCACAAGAATATTAATTTAAAGCACTTTGCCAATGTCAAATGTTGTTTTCATAATAAGGTGGCAAACTGGTTTAGCAATATTGGCTGGAATTAGTGGTGAACATTTAGCAAAGGAGAAGTGTGCGCGGAATCAGCTTTCTATGTGCCTAGCAGATGGCAGTTCTCCCAAAGATGCACATTCATATCCGTACTATACAGTGGTACCTCGGGTTACAGATGCTTCAGGTTACAGACTCCGCTAACCCAGAAATAGTACCTCGGGTTAAGAACTTTGCTTCAGGATGAGAACAGGAATCGCGTGGCGGCGGCGCGGCAGCGGGAGGCCACATTAGCTAAAGTGGTACCTCAGGTTAAGAACAGTTTCAGGTTAAGAGCGGACCTCCAGAACGAATTAAGTTCTTAACCCGAGGTACCACTGTAGTTCCTCTGCATGCAGCTTTTGGTGTGGAACTGGCTTCATACAACTTTTGATGTGCATTAGAATATATATATATATATATATATATATATATATATAGTCCAGAACAACTAAATGTTTTATTTGCTTTAATTGTCTCAATTAAATCTGGACTGTTTCTACTGTGAACATGCTGCAGAAATTCAAATATAGTCGAAATCTTAGTAAAGCTTCCCATGAAAGCTGAATTCTAGGGTGTGTGTGTGTGTTTGTGTGCAGATTAAGTTAGTAAATATTGCCTTGTGAATTCTACTGCAAATTTCCCCAGTACAATGACTTTTTTTTTCCTGCTTGAAAGGCTATTAGCTCCCTCTAGTGATATCTGTTAGGTCTGTAGCATCATTATGAATAATAATTGAAAACTAAAGTGTGAAGAGTCAGTCACTTTGTACTGTGTCATGCATAACAGGCCCAACCCACCCATGAGGCAAGGTGAGAAGACTGCTTCAGGCAGCAGGATTCACGAGGGCAGTAGATCTCTAAGTCAATCTTTCTTTCCCCCTGGTTACTGATGTAGATCTTCCCTCACCCCTTCTTCCCTGGTAGGGAGAGGGATGCCATTTTGGAGATCTGCCTCAGGTGTCAAAATGTCTTGCGCTGGCCCTGATGCATAAGATTTGGTTTCACTCACAAAAATGAAGACATGGGGATGTTTTAACTGAGGGCCAGATTATACTATACACTGGTGGTCTATGACTGAATATCGTCATATGAGTTTTGTTTATATTTTAACCAGAATGCAGCCATTGCCCTCTGCTAATTTGATCGGAGAAGCAGCAAGGAGTGGTTGAAACGTGCCTGTGAGTTATTTTCTTTACAATTTAATATTCCTTGTTCATTTGACATCACACACACATATACATTCCAGGTTTCCCATAGTCACCAGCTCATAAAAAGATACACGCAACAACCCATTAACAGTATATTTATATTTATTAATCTATTTCATTTGCAAATTGCTTTCCATGAGTTATCCTGAAGTGATTGGCAATGCAATAAAAACATATGCAGAACTGTTGCCTATACATTTGCATGTTGCATGTATAAAAATAATTAAAAAGCAATTCCATATATCTGATGATGATGATAATATCTCAAAGCATCATAAAACAAGAAGCCCATATATATCGGGTTACAGGCGCTTCAGGTTACATACTCCACTAACCTAGAAATAGTACCTCAGGTTAAGAACTTTGCTTCAGGATGAGAACAGAAATCACGTGGCAGCGGTGTGACGGCAGCAGGAGGCCCCAAGTGGTACCTCAGGTTAAGAACAGTTTCAGGTAAAGAACGGACCCCCAGAACGAATTAAGTTCTTAACCCGAGCTACCACTGTATAGTAAAACACAGAGCTTGACTCTTATATGTACTGTGCATACAGCAGAGGGGGCTGCACTGTCCTCAGAAGTCCTCAGAAGCAGGCACATTGCCACTTTATTAATTTTTGTGCTATCCTAATAAACTTTTTTCATGAGAAGACCATTGGAAGGATTTATTATTATTATTTGAAACCCATTTGCTAAGACTGGTAAGTGGCAAATGTAGTAACAGTAACTAAAAATAGTAATGGTAAATTTTGTGTATAATGTTGCATATAATCCATTAGATTAGGGCTGACATTACCAGGATTTCAAAGGAGGGGATCTTGAAATTACCGCAATTGCAGTTTTGTTGTAAATGGAAGAGGCTCAACAATCAGATCAAAAACACCAAATTCCATGTATACATTTTTTAAAAACAGCAACAACCTGATTCTTCATCCATTCTTGATGTGACCCTGGATGAACAGTGCATGTATGGAAGCATCTGAGAAAAAGGCCTCCAGTCCTCCCTCTCCCACTATTATTATTGCTATTATTATTATTATTATTATTATTATTATTTCAATTTATATCCCATCCTTACTCCCAATAGAGTCCTGAGCAGCAAACCTATCAATATAACTAAACTCAATCAGTTTTCTTTTGTTGTAGAAATGATCAATAAGTAAAACCTACAAGTATTTCAGATTGTGAACAAAATTCTATTTTGTTTTAATGTCTTGGAATGGACACCCCTCACCTTTCCTCATCCTGAACCTAGCAACATGCAACAAGGAAGGTTCACTGCTGCACCTCAATTAGTTAGGTGCTACTGTAAACTTGTGTGGCAATATTCAGTGCTATTGGGGGGGCGGGGAGGAATTGAGTCCTTACTATATCTGAAATCCCTCTAATCTAAAGAACAATAGGTGAACCACATTCCCCATGGTTTGCAGTGGCTAGCAGGAGAAATGTAGATATGAAATCACTTTAATAGGCCACTGCAACCAGGTGAACAACATGGTTTATAGTGGCCTAAGCCACATGTGATACAGGGCTATTTGAAGCCATGAGAACTATGTTACCCTGGTTTCTGGAAGCCCTGGTTCCTACCTTGTATGCTTGCAGAAATGTTTAGGGACTTCTGTAGTCCTTAAATTTAGAAATC